TTAGCGATTAACCGTAACACACAGCTATTCTTACGGTTTACCATTCGTTCTCGTTCGTTAATAAAATAAAATATATAAGATTTTAGTGTGTTGTAAAAGAGGTAGATTGGTTTAGAGATCAAGATACACATTGAACATTGATTACATCTTATGTAACAATTCTTCAATAAAACAATATATCAATAGCGAATAGCTGAGTGCCAACGGTTGCGAAAAATGATAGCGTATGCATTAGCGCCCACAAAGGGTATCAACGTCACCTCTTTTTGTTAGGACCCGTTGTCTTTTAATAACGAGGTCCGTGACGATCGCCTCGTGGGCGTGAGCTTGATAAATTAAATACAATACACATTAACCATTGTACAATAACTTATTTTCACCTTTGTTCTGACACGGTTGCTTTTATATGAACGACACAAATCCGTTTTTCGAATGAAAAGCTGATGAACCGTCTGTGAATAAAATTACGAACAATATTACAAAAATATTGTAAAAATGTTTTAAAAGACCAATTGTGAGCCCAAGACCAAGAGATTATTTGTAAATTATTTACGTATCACGTTCATTACCGTCAATGAATTTCTGTGTACACTTTAATCAATAGTGTGTTTCTACAAATGTTGTTATTGAACTTTTTCCATCAAAAAATGCAGCAATCGTTTGCATATTTAGCAAATACGCAATCACTTATGATAATACTTCCTATTTTGATCAATTATAATGCAATTATAGTAAACGTCAGTCAACCAAAAAATCAATAGGTAAACTAAGGCGGTGCGAGCGGGCCAGAGAAGTAACTGTATAAAATAAATATATTATATGTACCTATAATATATATCTAATACAAAAAAAGTGTGTTTAATTATTGGTACAGTTATCATCTATGCTCGTCTGTGTGGGTAATGGGTATGGAAGAGGTGAAAGACCTCTAATCTCTTTTAACCTCCCTGGGTGATACGCATGAGTGTTTATAAATGTACGTAATAACGTTCCGCGGTAGCAGACCTCCGAGTTCCAATAAAGACGTCACCACTCTTCGATACGGTGTCTTTTGGCACTTATATACGCCGGACCCACCGCCGGGGGTTCCGCGGGACAACACTACACCCACAGTTAGTGCAACAACAAACACACTAGTTCGCCCTCGCCTCCGAGCACGGCGAGACCAACACAACGCGTACACAAGGTACACCCGCGTTCCAGGGCGGTTCTCACCGCCCCCAGCCACCGATTAGCTAAAAACACAGTCGACGGCCATCGGGGTCTCGGTCCGCACCGCAACTTCGTTGGCCCTTAGATGACATGTCGTAGTTAAACGCACGATCATGAGCACATGCGCGGCCCTACCCACAACGGAGGGCCCAATCCCGTGGGTTCTGGCTAGCCCACCGGTTCTGCGTCAGATGAAGCTCTTATAGTCTCGGGACTGAAAGCAAAAACATCAGTTAATACAAGATACAAGGTGTCTTTTGGAGTCTGAAACTTTCCCCCCAAGCTATAATACATTTGCTAGCCATTAGTTGTGTTTGTACAAAAGGAGATGACCGTGCGGCATCGTGAGAGGGCTGATCCCACAAGATGACGATGTCGTCCGGTCAGCAGAAGCGGACGACAGCTGCCGTGTCAGCTGTGTAGTCCCGGGCTCATAGAATAGGACTAAGGTATCCCCGCATGTCGTAAAAGACGACTTAAAAGGGACGTGAGGGTCACGGACTAGCAGCAGTGCGAAGTGCCCTCGTACTGTGCAAGATGGCGAGGTGATCAGAGGTTCACCCTTCTCCGATGGCAGGGTATCTTTTGAAGATTCCTCTGCCCCCTCCCCCGCTGATAAAAAAATAAAAGTCACCCATTTGTATTTTCCCCACCTTAGAGATTTCCCCGTTTATCGATCGTTTAGATATTTACCCTCACCTTATCGCTACTTCATTCCGCGGGCGACAGATGCGAGATGCTGCCCTCCAGGCCATCGAGCATTCACTCACTCTCTCCTCCGCTCGCCTGGCTCCGGCCTCCTCCAAGTTACTTCCGCGTAGTATTAATTGGAGTTTAAAACTCACTCTCCAATGTTTCATTTTAAATTGATTCACTGAAGAGGCGCGGCCGAGATAAATGATCCATCCCTTGAGCCCACTACCGTTGGCGGCGTTAATATCCTTAAGCTATATTTTTCTCTTTTATATCAAACACACTTTTATAATAACTCTATTTGCAAAGGTTTGGAGATAACATATGCTTAAATAATTCCGAAAGACATCGATCATAAAAAACCGCCCAAGTGCAAGTCGGACTCGCGTATGTAGGGCAAAAAAATCATGTCTGTTGTATGGGAGCCCCACTTAAATATTTATTTATTATGTTGCAGTTGTTACAGCGTCAACAGAATTACATCATTTGTGAAAATTTCAACTTTTTAACTATCACGGTACATGAGATAAAGCCTGACGACAGACGGACAGACAGTCAGCGAAGTGTTAGTAATAGGGTTCCCATTTTACCCTTTGGGTACGGAACCCTAAAAACGGCTTACACTGCGAGCAAGACGCTAGTGTTTGTGACGGCGAGTGTTTGTGTTGTGTCAAACCACCATGTGCAGAAATTAGCTTATGAGGTTGTTAAAAATTAAAGAATTGTCTTTTTTTACTTTCGTCATACAACGGTTAAAAAACATTGGTCACGTATAATGATTAGATCAGGCTGCATTAGATCATAGAGTATCGCAGCTTACATATTTATTTCCATACTCTTCTATCAACATTCTTTTAACATTTTTTCCATTAACCATATTTTAAACATAGATATATAATGTTATGTACTGCGTCGGAAACAAACCGTCAAAAATAATACACGTCAAGCTGCCCGTGCGGTCCGGTACAGTGTAACGTGAAATAAACAAGGGGAAAGTTTGGCGGGTGCACGCGATCGATAGCGCACTTGTGTGCGCGCCCGTACAGACAGGCACGTGCCCTCTCCGGCGGTGCAACGTGTTTTCAGGAGGCTTATCGGCCGGATTATATTCTTTCTCGTCCGACAAATGTATAGTAGTAGTATTTGGAGTATTGGGAGAATAACGCATATTCCGTTTTGACTACTATGTCTTTATGGTAAATTAATTTATTTGCATTATATATAGATAAGGTTCTGTCCCTTGGAGTGCAGAACTTCTTGCTAAGTTGTTAATGTCATAAGTAAACAAAAAGCATTAGTATGAAATATTCGTCATGGTGGCAATAAGTATGACGGTAAGCATATCGCAGTGACTAATAACACTTTAATGCGATTTAAATGACTGGAAACAAAAGATTGGCGATCCGAATAAACGCGGGTTGTTGGCGAACAGCTTGCCGTCGCTAAATATGAGGGCTCCCGGCCGCCAGACTTTTAGAACGGAAAAGCGGCCGTTGAAACGTTCACCATTGGATTCTCTGAAAGGAAACTTACGGGTCGTAAATGGCTTCCTAATGAGTGTTTTGACGTTTTTTCTCGTTAGCCTCTTTCACGCGGCTAACACAATTAATCATAACTTTCCGCCTCGGATCGCCAAATTGGTTGGACTATTGTACTTCGTCCACGGTACGCTTTCCCTTTGTATGTAAGAATATTTCGTTCTATTGCCTACTATTTATTTCTATTCTATTTATTTTTTATGTGAGAACTTCACGCCGGTCCTTTGTGACTTCCCCGGACGGACCTGCCCATTCGTACAACAGCGAACTGATGCGTAGCCCTGCCACAGTTACATACCTACAGATTATTTTTAATGTGAGAATTTGCCAAGTGAGCAGGCGGTTCACCTGATGTTAAGTGAATACTGCCGCCCATGGACATGTGCTACTCCCGAGGGTTGCAAATGCGTTGACAACCTTGTCAAAATTTAGCCTGCCCATTCGTGCAACAGCAGAAAAACAAAATAGATTTAAAATGTACGTAAACGGTATTATTATGTTCCACGTAGACATTATATAGGCATACGCGCGGACAATTATTTCAAAGTTTTTTTAGTGATGATTTTGTATAAATATCGTCACTTCTACTAATATTTATCCTTAGATTTTCGAAACATGTTAAATTTTAAGAATATTAAAAATATTTGAAGCTTCAAGTTGCCTTGTCATTGCAGAATAGGAATTAATGTAAAAAGAAACAGTCAGACTTCTGTATTCTGTACTGCTGTAGAAGTGACATAATTGAACAAAAACAAAGTCCAGATTATTGAAACGTCATTCAACTCGGCTCGATTTTTAAATAATACTAATACACTATTACATAAATAAACTTAACTACATGAATAAAAGTTTCGAAGAGTAAAAGATTACATTTAAATTGTACGTGAAAGATGTTGAAATGTACGTTATTTTTATCGTATTGGTATTTCGTTTTACATCATTATAGTATTGTAACATAATAATACAATGTAACATCAATGAGGCGCAGACAGCTTGGCAAAGAACTTGGCATTGGCTCAGTGTGAGATGTGTTCACGTCATATGCCACCTGTTGGCCGCAATAACTATTTCATGTATTGGAATGTTTCAAAAGTATAATGTTTAAGATTGTTTGACGAGCTCAGTAGCTAAGAAATGTCATGGTTTCGATTAAAACGCGGGATAAGTTTTAACCTCGCCCACCGATAATATTTGGAGTGCACCTGTTAAAGTCTAATGGAGTAATAATGACGACGAGCGTTACGGAGATGTTCTTGTTAGAATTACTTTGTTTTATCGAGATAAGAAGGTAGGAATATAAATACTTTTACCAATTCACCGTTGTTTACTTTGCACAACAACGACACTGGTATAATTACTGGAATCACAACTAACGATATTTGTGATACCGATTGGAGATCACTCTCGCATATACTTCTTGTTGACAGCCAAAGAAACAAAGTTTACGACAGTGATTCGCATACAGTAATACCCCGATGATGAGATGATTTATTTAGTAGGGTTTTGCTGCAGCATGATAGATTCGGTAGTTATGTAAAATTAGTGTAACAATTAGACATGGGCCTCCCGTTCGACACGTGTTGCGAGGAAGTAATTAAAGGCGGCGCTGCAGGAAGGAAATTCCCGCGATGCCCCCGGGGCCGTGTAGGCACTACACACCGCCGCCGCCTCTCGCGTTTTACAAATGCAATTCCAGCCCGCGGTGCAAAAGGGTAGACTCTGAATCACGGCTCTCTGCTTAACTGTGCGCAGTCCTGTTTATATTTCTATTCTATTCTCTCTAATTCTTACCTACGACGAAAGCGTCAAGCTTAAAGCGGCATCAGGTTTAATTAAAACTGAAGAAAAAACTTTTGTTTCCAAAACTTCTTATATTACTATATCAACTATCAAGATTGGCTTATGTATGAATGCATACGTTTATGGAGACTTCGCGCCAGATGTATACTCAAGAAGCAGACGTATCAGTGTAACACCCAATCGCATTATCCAAGAGGCAAGTTTGCCGCCGTCCTATTCGGAACTTAAATCAATCGGAGGGTCGGAACGGATTAACCGGGACGGCTTAACAGTTGTAACAGTAATGGATGCTCCAAATGTAATACCGATAAGTGAATTCTCAATGCAAATCGGAGCCGACGCACCACTAACCCCCTCCCGTTCGCTCCCCGCTCCCCCGTTTTGTCTCGCACTATGTCAAATTGAAAGCCCTCTAATCGTTATACCTCTGCACTTCAAGAGGCTGTTAGATGAATGCGTCAAGCCTCTGGAAGTACACGATTCATATTAGAATTGTACCGCGGAGTCATGTAACCGGATGCCGTTCGCGCAGGGCCCGTTTACTATCTTAGGATACTTGCGCAACCTACTTGTTCTTAGGCAGAGTATTGTGGGTATACTGATCTTTACCAATGTTATATAATTTGTTGCATCAATATTTCTTGGTTGCAAGTCAACAATAACATCGCAGTTAATTTTGTATTCTCGCTTTAATTCATTAAAGCGTTTGCTGTATTACATCGGCCATCAGTGCCCTCGGCAGCGTTATCGCAAGTTCTCGCGTTGCTTAATTCTATCCGGACGGAGCTGCCACGTTCAGACTAAAACAATGTCTAGCCGTAATCCCACCTCCCTAACTTTCGTAAACGGTGGCGTTATGTTGCCTTATATCGACCGACTTCGCACATTTATACTGTGCTCACATAACGGTCAATAACATTTTTTTATGTGAAAAGTTGCCAAGGTAGCAGGCGGTTCACCTGATGTTAATTGAATACCATACCACATACCATATAAGTCTTTAATATTAACAAAATTTAGCTTTTATCTTCAAATGAAGTTGCAATTCCCCATCCCCTTATTGTCGACAGCATCACGGTGTATTATATAATTTCATCATTTGTAACACGTCCAATAAAATTGTCAACGTCCTTACATCGATCGATTTCTACATGTGTACTTCTTCAAAACGCAAGGGGGTTGGTACGCGTACAAAAATGGTGGAATTTCAATTCAGTTATAGCCTTAATTTTATAAATTTTATACTTCATGATAAGAGAGGAGGGAACAAGTGAACAGTATTTCATTAAACTTGTTCACTCGGTTCCTTGGTTCCTACGACTATTTCATTGTTTATAGTTGGGGTGGTAATCAAGCACAAGTTCGGTATGAAATTAAAGCAAGGCTATCTTTCAATTTACACAAGTCACCGGGACTTTTCTCTCGGCTTACAATAATTATTTTTTAACTAAACAGGCACTGATATGTTCTTGTGTACATAATCAGTGTCTTCCACAATGGCTTACTAATTTAGGGTTAATAAGTTCGATAAATGTTGACCGTCAACGTATAGTTAATTCTATCCGTGAACATAGATCACAATATAAGAGGATATATAAAGTTTTTATGTCCTTTTCTTAGATTATAAAATTTGGAAGTAATAGCGGACCCTAAATAAAGTTTATTGTTTATCCCCGCGTTCACGTTAACACTTAACTCGCTTAAAAGATACTAAAACTACCTATCAGCTAACATTTTCAAAAAGGAAACGACGATCGTGTGATGTTATTATTTACCGTTTATTGCTTCTTTATTAGCAACAAAATGATGAGATGTTGCAGTGGCGCAGGCCACTCGCTGCCGCCTTGATCACGTGTACTATAAATAAGGCATATATATTTATAATGATTGTAACAGGAGGCTTTTTTCGGAAGTTTATCAGCTTAAATTCCAAATAGGGATAAGCCGGATGACATCGGTGCAGTAGCAAGTAGTACAAACTGTAAATGCCATCGACTGAAAGAAACGCCCATCCAGGGACGCGCTCACTTTAAGACTCAGCGGAGGCAAACATCGGTGCAATTTCCATGGTCCTCGAAAAGGGCTGATCCGCGCCAGAGCGCTCGAGCGCCGGGGCCCGCGTGCCCAGGTGAGACGCACGTGTGATGGCGGACCCTCGGCGTCAAAGGCGCGGCGTGCGCTCCTCTCAACGTTTACAAACAACGGGCTCATATAGAGTAGTCTTTACGCTTCAAAGCGACTCGCCTCCCCATTGATAAAAATGCATGTCAGCATGATGTTCGCACACGGCGCTCACACCGGCTAAGGTGCATGTTTAGCTCGCATATTAAACATACTCGTAGGAGCGCGGCGTGAACGCCGGAGATCGCCTTTGAGTCACAACGGATGGTGCACGGCCCGATATTGTTTTTACAAAAGGCGGCTTTTTGAAAAGCCCTCGCACCTTTTTGGGGAAAATCAGTACAGGTTTTGGTAATATTCAAATATCATTTGGTCATTAGACATCCATGTGCTCCCTCCCCCCCACTTCGTGGATTACAGTTCTGTAAGCAATGATGAAAATATTATAAAGTTAATATTAAGGATGCGTTATTGATTAAACAAGAAAAAAATTGCATTTTCATATTGTTCTTTACTACTACGCTTGGTTACAGCGTGGCATGTGGTTTGTAGATTAGTTTCCTGAGAATATATTATGTATACTTACATATGCATCTATAATCTTAACAATCATACCTTTATTTCTGAACTTTACAGTAACTTTACATGCTCGTAGCTATGTGGTGACGTCATAGCTTGTGTTACTTTGATAAACTTTAAATTAGTTTTCCCGCAAATGAAATGGATATTTTATTAAATCGTCTAAAGTATTGCTGTACTTGTTTAAGTGTTTTTTCTTTAACACCTACTTATATTTTATTTGCCTCATACAATACATTAACTGTTCATACAATATATTTATTTGCCTCATACAATAATTAGACTGGCCCTAATATAGTCTGCCTGTACACAAGATTTTTGTAAAAACATAAAAAATCTGAGCTACTAGAATATCATCCTTGCTGAATGGTTAAATGAATACAACGTGTGAAACATTACTAAGTATTTAGTAATAAAAGCTATACAAGTAACCCCCGTTCCGGCGTTTCCAGTAGAGAAGCCCATCGAAGCATAAAGGAGCGAGAGATTACGACGTTCCTAGTATTTGTAATACAATTACGCGCTGAACACGCCCTTTGTGAATGAACGTTACATTGGAATTTTAATTCTATAACTAAATGGCCACCGCACTTGTTGATTGCTTCGTAATGTGAGGATGGGACATTGGTGATCCAGCTTATACAACCGTTAAGTGGTACTTTTGTAATTTGCTTAATTAATCCATAGTCTAAATTTTATATACTCTACTTTGATACTATTTAAATGATTATTATGTTTAAGAACGTTCGTATAATAAAACTTTCATTTTATTCCTGGAATGTGTGTATGTAATGAGTTCATGTAAAACTTAACGCATTGGCCTCAAGTTTACTGTGTTAACTTACATTAAACAATAAATTAATGTTACATGTGTAATGTTCAGACGATCGCACGCGATAATTATACGGATAATTTACTACGAGACTACAGCGCATCGTAACGCGTTCAAAATGGAATTTAACATACCTGAAACAATATACGAAGAACAGCTCTGAATGCAATGCTAATGCTGGTGAACATGTCAAATTTGTAGCTCCGTATTTTTAAAGTTTAATTTAAAGTAAATTGTATTAATTCGTTATTTCTTAATCGTAGTAAATTACTTAGGTGTATGTATGTATATAATGGATATTCGAATCCCGAATATCTATATGTTATTATTCATTGTGTGTCTTACTGTTTAAGATTCAGAACGTTAAAGTTATCGTTCACAATAACAAAATAATAATGTAAATAAATAACTAAACATAGCAGTGATATTGAACGGCGAATAATTAATTTCCCGACATTCGTTGGGACAACAAGGTTAAGGAAGATGTGATAAGTACATAAAGTATTTAAAAGAATATTCTGAATTATGTTCAGAGTAATAGATAAAAATGTTGAGGACTGACTTACACTAGGAATTTCAGGAGTTTTTTCCACAGAATTTCTTTGCTTTTTGCATTTCTTTGTGTCTGTGCATGTATACAATTGCGCAATTGGTGCACTGAGCAAAGCGGAGTAGAGCGAAGTAGACGAATGCCGCCCCCTAATGGCGTGCCCGCGAGCGCACGAACCGATTTGATTATAATAAGCGAATAAGCGAAGTTCCGAGCGCCCGCGAACAAGCTACGGATTCCGCTTCGCAGAGATAACGCTCCGTGTTAATCTGTTTGCTGGAACGTTCTGGAACATTGCGAACATTCTGGTAGGGAACACTGCGGATACCATTGAGAATCTTACCGCTAGCAAGAGATGTGTTAGGATTTTGTATAATTGAATAAAATTCTTAATATGATTATTATTAAAGTAGACTGTGAACACGTAACTGTATACTTTACATATCTTTGTTTGCGAATATTGCAGCTATAAAAAATTCCCGCTATTTTTGTTTTCAAAGAGCGCAAATGTCTTACTGTTCTGCCTTTTATTGTTGCAGGTATGTTGCAGTCCAAGAGGGTGAGGAAAAAGTATTTGAATTAAATGTCCTTTCTAAAGTAAATACTTGTTCTATAAATGAAACATGTGATACCTGTATGTGTTGGAGGGAGAATGTAAAATATAGCTGGACGAGCGTCCAAACAATGGAAATGTGCAGAATGATTAAGAAGTTGGGCGCGAGATCACAGCACTTCGACAGGCGAAGTTTTGATGCCGAAGTGGGGATCACGCTCATCATGCTCCATGCCAAAACTACTTTGTAAGAAGTTCCACTCGGCGGAAAACTTACGAATTGAAGGCGTCCCCCGACGCGACCGCCGCCGCGACAATTAATGAACTAGAAAATCTTGCGCCACTTTGCCGCTTGCAATTTCTTCCACAAATACGTTCTTATAATCATTCGGTATCGTTTTGGTGGCGATGCAATTTATACTGATAATAAATACCCACAACAATACAGAATCCATAGAGACAAATGAATAATGTTGGAATTCATTTCACTCGACTGTCTTCTGGAGATGTCATCGAATGGAGGTGGCCGGGTTAAGAGATTATCACTCGCTTGGCCCGACTGGTGCACAACGTGTTTGAGCGAACAGTGCCTCCGCTCGGCTCTAATCCCCGGCTGAGGTCGGCAGGCCTGGGCCGCAAAGTCAGATGCGCCCTTGTGGCTCTTCACAACCGCACATGCGGCAATGACAAGTGTTATTCGAATTCTGCATTCCAAAAGTCGACATTATTTTGAACAACAACACATTGTATAAATGTATATTTGGCCTTGACATAATTATCAAGATAATTATTTAAAAGAAGATAAATGTATAGTGTTTGTATACTTTAATAGAAAGATGAGTGCATAAAAACAATTTCTAACTATGTAGGTAAATGTAAAAAAAAATGTAATGACTGGCCTGCTATTCAAAAATTCCCCGTGCAGTTGGCATGTCGCGGGATGAAGTTGTGAAACTGCTCGGTGTACTCATGTCGGGTACGGCTTGTTCGCTGTCCGTGTGTGGGGGTGCGGGGGTGCGGCCTCCATTAGACAGCGGCTCCAGAGGCACCAGTGGCCCGTGAATGGAGCTCTGGCGCGCACTGCGCGAGATAACGTTATTAACGGATCGCCGGATCGCACCCAAATATCCCTTTCGACGCGCATCAGGCCGTGCGGTGACGTCACCGCCAAATTAATACTCCCGAGCTCCCTTCGATTTCCTCCGATATACAATAATTCAGCGCAGCGCTTCCCACCTGACTCCAAGCTTCTCAGTGTATTTTTATGGCGACTACAGGTTCCTTGTTCTATATAATATATGATATTCAACCCCTGTATCTAGCCTGAGTTGGTTCCTCCATTTCATGAGGCATTACCGTTAATTTTAAAATCTTCCACACCGCCTGCTCATATTTTTTATGTGAAAAGTTGCCAAGCGTGCAAGCGTTTCGCCTGATGTTAAGTGAATACCGCCGCCCATGGACATCTGCCACACCCGAGAGTTCCAGATGCGTTGACAACCTTTTGAAAATTGGGCTTCGGCCACCTCACTCACCAGACGAAACGCGTAAGTGTTATACTTCCACCTTACGCCGGTCTTCTGTGAGGTCGTGGTACTTACCCGGACGAGGCTGCCCATTCGTGCAACAGCCGAGGCTGCTACGTGGCCCTACCATCGTATAATTTGTATATTTTCAACCATCAAACGTACTACTTAATTTTTCATCAGATTTTGGCTTCGCACAATTTTATAATATAGTTCATAGATATGTTTTATTAATGCTTCGAATGTCATGGAGAAAAATCTATCTGCCAACATTAAGCTCCACGAAAGACGTTCAAAACTCCCATTAGCGAGTGATTTCGCATCGCCGCCCCCGGCTTTATTGCAATCATTCACGATTTGACGCGCGAGCAGTCGAGTCCTGGCTTCGATTCGGATATAAATCATCACGGACCTCATTCCGAGCACAGTACAATCGATTCTTACACGCGGAGGACCTGACATTTCTTTTTCGAATAAATAAAATGGTTCAGTATAAAACCAATTATATCTTTTCCTGGGTTAGAGACTAACACAATACCCGTAGTGTTGTTGACGCCTGCTGTTTAGCAATAGTGTCAATCTAGTCTTTATGGTCATTAAACTGTAGACACGTAGCGATCAAATGAATTAGAAGCAATTAATGCATAGAATCTTTACTTAAAGGAAAATAAATAAATGAAACCCAGCCAGACGGAAACTCTCCGCAGGGGAGGGGCATGGGTGGAGGGGAAGAAAAAGGAAGTGGCATTTGATGCAGGCAGTATCGAGGCGCACCGCCTTCTGCATTTGCACTCGGAGCGGTCCGACAAGATTACTATTCAATTAAAGTTAATTGAACTCACAAACGCTAGCGAAAAAAGAAGCTTAAACCATTTAAAGTAAGAATTAGTCATGCAATTTGATTTACTTGATAACGTTGCAATTGTGGCATGCAATAGTCACCCTTTCTATTAACTCGATAGAACTTAAGGATTTTTTGTTCCTAAGGCAACCAAAGCCATTAAGATGTAAAATGTTTAAAAGTAACCATTCCTTTCTTGACGTAATAAATTTAAGACAATCTTATTACGTTTATTAAAGGTAACTCTTGTAATGAACCGAACACAGTCTCGCCGTATCGTCACCCTTTTATACAACAGTCCGTAATGAAGCTATAACTTATACGAATAGCAACTTCTTGTATAGAATAAATTGCATTTTAACATTAATCCATAATAAATTAAAACAAATAATAACACAGGAAGAAACAATATTAATTGTGCGCCGAATTATGATTAAAACTATTGTGTGTAATAAATTCATTTGCAATGAAATTTCATCATGGCTAATAAGACCTGGTAGAGGGCGCTGGTTGTAACACATTAGTGTTATATTTATGTAGCAATCATATTGAACATTAATGTGATATATAACCTGAGTTCGATCCCGGTTCGTGCTGGCAGCACCCATGAAATTGTTAATTTTAGATGATGACTTATCACGTAACATAATTTCAACAAAGACGAAGTACATAATTCAATGTCATACTTCTCCGGAAACATAAGTTAGCCAGAGTACACCATATTGTTTCGTAGGTCGCAATTGAGCCAGTCAAGGCGGGGCATCGTTCAATCGGAAATCGCTGGATGTGCCGGAGCGGCAGAACAGAAGTGTGGGGGCATTATTTGGCACACACGAGGTCGAAAGCGGCCGGGCAAATTGGAGGCATTCGCCTACCTCGCGCCGCTGTCTCCTCGCAATTTATGTTGTGCTGGTAGAACGCTCGGCGTTTTGTAAATTTTGCATTTGTATAGAGATCTTTTTGGATGTTACCCGTCTGAAGGGGTCTACATCTTCGGGATTTACTCCGTCTCAAGCGATTCAGATGCAAATTTAATTCTGCACGGTTTTCATTGAGAAACATCCAACAATGTGAATGCTAAATTTCTATTTGCGGAATCTCGGAGGGCTTGTGTGTACAATTTTAAAATGTTGTTGCTCGAATTCCGCCTTTCAAAGGAAGTTGTCATGAGTATTGAAACAAGTACAGCTCTAACCGTTTTCCTTTGCATTTTAATTGCATAAATAGTTTAAGTAATAAAGTAGTTATTTAAGATTTTCACCGATAACTGGATCACGGTGTATGACAATTCTTTCCAACGTTCCATAAGCTCAGTACAGTAATTTAATGTCGAAATATAATTTGAGCTTATTACTAGGTCGGGATGGTGTCCTTAAATCAACAAAATAAAAATACTAGAAAGTTTTAATCTTCAGGCAGCGACTTAGTAAGAATTAGATTTCAACTACATGGTTGTTCTACCTTATTGATAATTATTCAGGTGCGTGCACAAAAAATGAGGTTATGCATTCAATTTAAAATTTATATAAGAGCTTACTTTTAGTTAATTTTATATTTGATTTTTATTTGATTTAAGTTTTGATATCTTGTCATCTTCATTAAAATAAACTACTAGGGACCCTGAGTTCGCAGGGGTAGGACTAATTACCCAAAAAAAGTGATCTCTGCCAAATTTCACAGGATCAACCGCTGGAGTAGTAAAGATTGCCTGATACTCGTAGTTTATCACAATCGGTTAACAGTAGAGACACATCGATATTTATTAATATACTAGCGACCCGCCCCGTATAAACCTTCCTCTTGAATCACCCTATTAAAAGAACCGCATCAAGATCCGTTGCGTAGTTTTAAAGATCTAAGCATGCATAGGGACAGACAGACAGCGGGAAGACTTGTTTTATACGATGTAGTGATAGTTTATAAATAATCTATTTTTTTTAAGCTAACAATTCATTAGCTTAAAAAATCGATTATTTATTTAACAACCGAAATTTATTTTGTTCAGTGTCAATTTACGAAACTGACAGTTATTAAGTGTACTTATGTATAATAATTATGATCAATTGATAAGATTAGAAACTTTTTGATAATTACCAAGAAACAAAAAAAAGCAAGTTAAATTATGTGACGTCTCGACAGCCCTACTATGACGTGATTAATGTTTCTGACAGGTCCTCAGCTGGATTTCGGACGGCCGGGTGAATACATAAAGTCTACTCCGAGTTGTTTTATTTAGACAAAATGTTTTGTAACGAAACAGCGGTGACACGAGATAATTTTGTAAATGTTGCCTTTTATTGTTATAGGAAAATACTCTTCATCATAACTCAAGTTTAAAACGGATTTGTGTAATAAAGCCAAGGCTGTGATATTTTCCTTGCATAAAAGTCTTAACAAGTGTCAAAAATGTATATTAATAGCAAAAAAAAAAAAATTAAATGTGCAACGCGACAATTTATTTACAAACATCAACTTAAGATCAATTCAGAGACGGAGATTAGCACTAAAAATAAAATTAATCTTAAATCCGAGGACATTCTTTGTTGCAAGTCCGGGGATAACGAAAATAAAAAGAGATTATACACCCGACAATAGGAATGTTCTTGTCTCTCCGGGATTATTAGGATAAGTAACAAAAAATGCTCTAACGCCACCGATGAGTCTAAAAAAACCGCGCCGTCTGTTCCACGGGCGACATCGACAGCTTGCGGCCGCCCCTCAGTCCAGCAAACGAATTCTCGGCATCTATTTTGACCGCATGTTCAGCACTTCAATTGTTTCAGTCCAATACATTAAGGAGGAGAGCAGCTTGTATATCTCATCTGCAATCTCTTGTATCTCCTTCGAGATTAAGCGAAATACGTTAAGTACTATTTCAAACTTTAATATTTATATGTTATACTTCAATTAAAATTGTACAATGCAAAATACTATTGCAGTATTTTAGAAAATTTCCGCTAATAATTTCTTGTTTTTACGCGATTACACATTATAAATGAAACAAATTTTACGGATTTATCGCGTTTACCGACGTTTCGTCTGTCCCGTAACCATGAACGCTGTAAAGGGTTCGAAACGTCGGGAATTAAAATTAAAAATAAACGCGATAAATCCGTAAAATTAGTTTCATTTATAATTTCCGCTAAGTCAATACTTCTTATAGCAGCAAACGTAGCGACTGACATATTTTGCTCCTAATTAAGGCTTTTGTTGACGTCCAATTAGGTATGCTTTCACCCCACTAAGGTATGCTTTCCAAAGGTTTTTTTAAAGCACACAAAGACAAAGGCTGCAGTCGGACAGTGGCTGAATCCGAGCAACGCTCCGAGCGCACACAACTCGAACAACAAAGCCATTTTATTAGGCAAACAGAAATCCGCCGACATCGCTCTCGGCACTCGAACCTGCACAAGGCAAACACGCTGCAGAAAATTGAAATGTTTTATTTAAATTGTAGCCCGCGTCACTAGATGTGCTTATTTGTTCGTTCCGAGCTTACATCGGCGCTTCTCTTTGTGTTCTGTTTACATGCGATGGGCGGGTGAGCTGGATGCATCTCGCGGGGGCACCTCTCATTGCCTGTTCACTTCGTTAGCTCGCTTTCGGACGCTGTGGCCTTTGCTGTTTGCTGCCGGTTGTTTATATCGATTACACAGGAGGTTCAGATACGCCATCTGCTTTTGGTTCTGCCCCAAGGAACTGTTAGAGACGATAATTAGCACTTGGTTATCTTCAAAGTAGTCGAGCGTGACAAGTATTTCGAAAGAAGCACATATCGGTACACTGTTAATAGGCAAAAAGTGACGTTTAAGTTATAACAATTTTTTAGCAACGATAATACACATTACTGTAGGAAGTGGTATGTGAGCACTGCACTTCAACAATAGGCGAATAGGGTCTTCAAAGACTTTAATTTCAAAAATACTCGCCGCTTTTCCCGCCTCGGTTCTCTGCATGACCTATGAGGTCTCATAGGTCATAAAGTTCTCGTTTCCATCAAAGTTTTTTCTAATTATGGGCATGTGGCCTTTTCCGTCACGGTTGCAACAGACTCGGATGGCTTTGATGACTATGATCCCTTGAGAGGGAGACCATGCCTTAAAGCTATTATTTTTTATTTCAACTTAAGTCATCGATTACAGATTTTAAATAAATTGACAAAAATCCTTAAACCTGCTAAAGACAATATACCACAGATAATGTTAAACATAATCTATATAAAGAACAATGATCCTCGCTTACATATAACAAACAGCACGTCTTACTTTTTTTTTCTAAACACATATCGAGGGCTAGAGTTGAGGACGAGTAAACATTTTCGCGGACTAAATGCAGATTATAAATAACTTCTAACGACGCTAGTAATTTTACCGGCGGTAGGCAAAGTTTTGGACTCGGTGATAGATGTTGCCAGACCGCAGAGTGCTTGTGGCGGACCTAAATTAAAAAGAAACTTATACGTAATAACTCCCCACTTGAGGGGTGTGCGATCTAGTGATTTTCGTTTTGTGCTACGTGTAGGTTTTTATTATGTGTAACGCATTAGTAATATGTCAGTTACGAAGAGATGCATAGGAACTCGTGATGACAGATTTTCTCTAAAGCCATTTGAAAATAAATGTCGGTCAAAAGAGTGCATTTTGCGCGTAAGCAATCACGGGGCTTCTAATTAGCAACTTAATGATTGTTTTATTCAGTTGCAGTATTGTTACGAATATAAAGCTGTTCTCTGGAGTCGTATAGATTAAGCTAATTAGAGAGAAAAATTGGTAGACATTTTTCTATATATAGACCTGGAAAGATATACCCAAACTGAGGATTGACGGACTTTACATAGTTTTTCGAAATATTTTTTTCGATGAGTACGTGATAACCGGTGCATTGGTATGCTTAACAATTTTCTACTGTCGATCGAATGTGAGTAACGTATAGAATAACCTTTTATAGTTATAGAAATATAATATAAATTTATAGAATGAGATACATATAGCTGTGTAAACTAAGGCCGTTACCCCATTCCATCTCCTAACAAACTGCCCGCTATGCGCAAGTCATTCCACAAAAATTACTTGGTAAATTTGGGCTTTTGGGAAACACGAGATGAGGTAATGTGTTTCTGTCAGCGTGTTACTGACATTTTAGAGAGTGGAGTTCGATCTTGGTGGGCTGGTTATGCGACTGCGTAACCTGTACATGTATATATATATGTATGTATGTAGAGAGGCGTGTTGTTTATACTGTCAGGTGTTTAAGAAACAATTGATTTTTTATCCGATTTTGTATATTTCTACCAAGACTTCGAGCTTGGTTTAAAAACTTGGTCAACTCGTACAATTTATTCAAACGTATTGAACAAGAATTGATTTTCACTTTGGCTGTTGGGTTAATAAAATAGGGGACCAACATTCGCACCTGTTGTCAAATTTTGACGTAACGTTTTATAGCTAAAATATATAATTAGTAAAATGATAAATTAACATTCAGGCGGGAAGTGCGAGACGGGATGGGACCGCGGACTCATTGCACTCGCCCCGATGAAGTACCTCGAATAGGTCCGGATCTGGTCGGTACATAGACCGATTGTATGTGAGTTTACCGTTTTATTATTCCGTTAAATATTAATAGTGCAAGCTACTCCTGGCCGGCATATTTCCCCTCACAATTTTCTAATATAAACATCAAAGAGACTGAGGGTGGGAGTTTATAACCTCGCAAATTGAGACCGCTCTTCTAGATAATGGACAAAGAAACTCGAAAAGTTTCTCCTCCGAGCGATACCGGTCCATTTTATAGTAACTAATTGCGATCCTGGCGAGCTGTCTCGCAGTCACTTAAGCTGTTCGAATAATTATTGATTGGGTTATTATCAATAATTGTCCCTCCCCTACCACCTCTCGCCCTCCACTACCCCTGATGGTCCGAAGCGAGGGACGACTCATTTAATACCTTTGCGGCGTGTTTAATAAAAGAATCCTAGGCTACTGAATAGTTAAAACTAGATAGTATTCAGTAGTCAGTTATCCTTTGTGTTCCGTAAAAGACCAACATTTTGGATAGATTTTCTTTTTGTCAGAAGCAATTAACCAATCCTTACTTCCTTAATAAATATTATGAACATGAAAGTTTGTATGTATGGATGAATGTTTGTTGCTCTTTCACGCAAATACTAATGAATGGATTGTAATGCAACTTTACAATAACATAGCTTATACATCAGAATAAGACATAGGGTATAATTTATATAAATATGTTTATGTATGAAAGACAGATATCTTTCTGCCTGAACGTTACGACTTCTGCCTTCTACGCAGACGTAGTCGCGGGTAGCAGCTAGTAAAAAATAAATGTTTAAATATATGTGCAGTCTACTAATCCCCAGTTTAATTTATACATACGAAACGTGGAATTATCTGGGAAAACGGTACAGTTCAAGAGACCAGCATTTTTCTCAAGGATACCATTTACGTAGTTAAATAGAATAGAAATGTTTCCTCAATCGTCGTTGTGTTATACCTAAGTGTAAAACGTAGTTGCAATAATCACTTATACTTCCTTAATCAGGAAACTACCTCATTACAAACATTTCCAATCACCGAGAAGACGAAAATAAGCGACCCCTGACTCGTGACGGACGCTTCGCGGCAGAGTCCAATCTAACTTTTCCTTTCTTTCAAGTAGTTCGGATGTAATAATAATTTATGTAAGTCAACGCTCAAACATAAAACGCCCCTCCTCTCCTCTCACTCTTCAGCATCAGTTATGAATGAACACCGGGGATTAAAAAGTTCCTTGCTCCTCGTTTGGGAACAATCATTTATCTTTATAAGTAAGTATACGTAGCAATTGTTCATATTTTTGAAGAATGTTGTCATGAAATCAGTATTATTCTCTGTTGTCTTTATTATAGTATACTTAGCTCCAAGTAATAATTTTCATGTTACCAATATCATATTACAAAAGTATCCACTGAGTGCCATACTTCACTATTATCCCACTGCATCTTTTATCAAATCGTTTTTTTGAGATTTCAAAATGAGTGAGGTTTGGAGTCTAGCGTGCAAGGATATTCCCTCCGTTGTTAGTCGAGTCGTCTTTTTAGGGTTACCGTCCCAAAGGGCAAAACGGGACCCCAAGACTCCGCTGACTGTCTGTCTGTCTGTCACTAGGCTGTATCTCATGAACCGTGATAGTTAGAAAGGTGAAAATTTCACTTATGATGTATTTATGTTGCCCCTATAACAACAAATAGCTAAAAAAACAGATTAAAAAATATTTAAATCGGGCTCTCATACAGCAGACGTGATATTTTTGCCGTTTTTATACATAATGGCACGAAACCATTCGTTCGCGACTCGGGCTATCACATGACCGGCTTTTCTCCCGTGCCATACGCAATGACTTACGAGAGAAAAACTAAAACCCGTTCCTAGCACAATCACCTCCCACACTACACCAGCTTCCGTATGACGCGGAGCGCGGCTTGCGACCAAGTCGCCCCAGCCCGCAGCCGCAGCCTCCCGCCCGCACATCCGAAACTCGTTAACGACCAACCGAATGCGTTTTTAAGTCAATGCGATCGACTTAACATGCGCGCCCATTATCTCTTTAAAGAGATTCGATTTCGGTATTCAATGACACGGTTCGAAGTTCGGCGAAGCGCGCTACACTAGTACATTTGCTTGACGGATCAAGTACGACTTATAAAGTTATTGTCATTTAAGGTCTCTGTCATGCCATCGTTTCGATAGAAGTATTAACTTGAGTCGTAGCTATTGTCCTTTTTGGATTGTCCATTAACTTAGATGTATTGAAATAAACATTCAAGCGACGGACACGTCAACAAACTAGAAATGTAAATCCAACTCGATTTCGAACGCAGCGGTGGCGCATTGCAACACGCACGGATCTTCGCACCTCCATTTGCGGTATGTCCGTGCGACAACTCACCGCCCTCCTAACGAGCTCGGGTGGGCACAGCGCTGTCCGCCCCGGGGGCCATTTGCGCTCCCGAGATAAGGGCCCCGAGCCGAAATGGCTCCTTCGTTCAATGCGCGACGGAGTTACGCTCACCGGTTCGCGCTTTATTGCAATTCCTAAACTAAGAATAGCATTCAATTTGAACGTTAGGTTCAACAAAATAACTGTGCGATAATATGTTCATTCTTTGCATAAATGGGCACGCAATAAATGAATTAAGGATCCTCTACGAAAGCTACGAAGATTGTTTTTATTTTACATGCTCTCAGCATATGAAAACAATTTGATCCAATCGAAGATCCTGTCTTATATAGAGTCGATGTCGGTTTTCTATGGGGCAATAAAACTTCCTGACCTAAGACAACGGTATGCAGGAGGTGGCCAAGCCTCTCGTGTCGTTGTCCAAAATTAAAGCTGTGTTTCAATCATCAACAATGACCAACTACTATAACAATAAAATCTAAAATATGGGTGGAAGCTTTCCACCCGATCAGTTTTTCCGACCTATTAAATTTTATAGCTCACCACGGAGTCCCATTTTATTAGGCCTTTTAACACCTTTCACAATTTTTTTTGTTCAACACACTATCCCTTCTTGTAAAATTGTGATAAAACGCAGCTTCTTATTCAATTATTCTAGTTGGGAAATGTTTAACGTTGAAACATTTTTAAAATATGTAGGTATATTAGCACGCAAGAATTGAATGCAGAACACGAAACGTTTGTTTAAGTGAATTCTTCAGATCCGTTGTACGGTCGATGGGTAGTTGGGTACACATTCCCGTGGGTTGGGGCCTCGAGTCGGAAGGAGTGAAGGCGGGCGGTTTGAAACGTGCGGAGATCGGAGGCGCGCGGCCGCCGCTCGTAAATTACGCCTTCGGCCTTCGGCGGCTGGATGGCGCGCAGAATTAACATAATAGAAAGGGCCGCGTTCACACCGCGCTCGTAAATATACCTTTATGTCCGGCCCTGAGGAAGTGCGAGGGCAGTGGCAGCACACCGGCGATCGCACCACTCACCGAGACATTCCTTACATTTGCCCACATATATTATAATAGTTTAATCATTAATAAAAGGCTAACTGAGAAATGTTAGATGTAAATCAGAGTAACACATTCCAATATTGAATTGGTCTCAAAATTTTTAAATTCTCATAAAAAGTGTGTGTATGTCCCGTTGATAAAAATAAGTTTTATACTCAGAGACGCGATACTCCATAGCGATGCAAGCAACAGAAAGTTTTGAACACAAATGCACTGAATGCGCCGTAAAATAAATTTCAAAACGCTCGTAGTGAAAATGGATTCTGCAGTTTTGTTGATTTACGGCTCAGCGCTAGCCGTGCCCCGCGTGGCGTTCACGCGTAGGCACGTGCGCTTGGAGCGGATCCTCCCTCGCGCTATATTCCTAGTCCTTCAGTGACAAGGTGCTAATTGGGTCGGGTAAAGTACCATGCGGGGGATTGAGCTGCGACCATCTTGCATTGCCCTTTAGTTTATAATAACTGCAGAACCTGCATTCTCTGGAATAAAATGATTGCTGGAAAATATATGAAGTTGCCTAAGCCTGGTATTATTAAAGTGCTTTCTTATTTTTTTCACCAAGGAATATTGCAGAAGAGAAGATTTTTCGCTTAATTGAAAAATATCACCATAAAGAAAGTCTTTTTTCGCGTTAAAGTGAAATGTTTACAAATTATAAGCTTCCCTCTTTCTGTTGTTAAAAACTATACGGAACTCCGTAGCTTTGAGATTGATCCGAACGAACACAAAGTCAGCTCGGCGGTCTACTATATACAGTGATGCCGTATCGCTTACACATTTCGGAATATGACAAGTTAAACACCTATTGTAGCTCTCACAAAAACAGTAAACAGCGGACATCTTCGAACGAGAAAACGGCAACATAATCGTTCGTGGAATAACTATCGACGATATTACTGGTATTGCTACCGCGAAAAATGATGTAGGGCCATAAAGCCGCTATATCTGGTCGGTGCGGTGCCGGGAAAAAATCGCGCCCATTCCGACTTGACCTTTCCGCTTGAAATATTATCCCGATACGATCCCGACTTAGAGTAACGGCTCACACGCCGTCCCAAATATAAAGGAGGGAAGTTTTTTACACCGCCCCGAGAGCTGCCTTTGTTTCAATATGTATAGAATTTCTGAGAGTAAAATTTTTCCTCAGCTAGCTTTACCACCGAATAATAGAAAAGTTACTATATTAATAATAAACAGTACTATCTGCATAGGTATGATTTTTCAACTTCATCTGTAGACGATTTTTACACATTTATTTATATGGGTAATTGTTAAATGCTCATCACATTTTGCCTGTGGTAGGGCGAAGCAACATTCTTTGCTGTTGCACGAATGGCCAGGTTAGTCATACTTCTGCGTTTCGTCTGACGAGTGAGGTAACCGGGGCCCACTTTATTAAACGGTGGCAGTGCACCTGAAACTCTATGGGTGCTGCAAATGTCATCAAGTGAAACGTCCGCTCACCTGACATCATCTCATACAAAAAAAAAACAAAGAATGTTGATTCGGCGATAAATGAACACTTACAATTTTAAAACTACGCGTTTAAGCTTATGACGTGTTAAATGAACCTACTTTACGAATACTTGCGTTTCATTATAGCCGCGTATTTTTTACTTATTTTTTATTTTATTTTATTCGTAAACAGAATTTATTTTGCTTGTCACCAAACCACAACGTTATATTCTGATTGATGTCTCTTTCATTGCCCTTGTTGTCGAGTCAGTGATGTTAACAGTGCAGAACTTGTTGAATTCAATTGGAGTGGGATGGTTGTTGAAAAAAATACATCAGAAGCTCCCGTCTATATTTGGGAAACCATTTTTTTCATCATCTTTTTGTTTATATTCTTCAGCATGCAATTTTCAAAAGGTTGTCAACGCATCCGGAACACTCTGGTGTAGCAGATGTCCATGGCCACCGCCCATTCACATAAAAAAATGCAAAAATGCATACGTCATATACTCCAGGGTTTATATTTTTATGTAATGTATTAATTTTCATGTCATATACTCATGAATTACATTTTCATATTTTTAAGTATACATTCGTAAAATCAGTTCTTGTTATGCGATGAGCATTTTGCGGGTGTAATTTAGTGAAGAACACTGATCAAAATCATAGGTATATGACTTTGATCAGTGATTTACACTAAATCACACACGCAAATAATATATCGAAATGCTTGTTTGAAGTGGAACTGATACTTAAGACCGGATTATGTCTATAATAAATAACTAAACAAATAAGCTCGGGAAAATTAATGTTAGGTATTTACTAACTTTCAAGTAAAACACTTCGATTATTTCGAATAATAACAATAGCTTTTTCTTTGTATACATATGTAACCTTAAATTTGCCTACCCTTTTCTTTTCGAGTATATTTTTATTAGCAAGAACTGACTAGACACAAACCCAAATCGAATAAAGAAACGTAGAAAAGGAAAAGGAGGGTGATTGTGATATGGAAAGAAAAACTGTTTGGTGGCGTGCAACTAATGATCCTATGTCCAGTTGCCGACTGCCGTTAATGATGCACCCGCATTTAGGTGAAGATTGATTGCTTTTTATTAGAGAAGGGCACAAGCCTTGTTGTTATTGCAGGTGATTATTTTAGATGCAGCATCCATATATGGGGGAAGTCAATGGGGGAGGCCTATGTTCAGCAGTGACTAGTAACGGCTGATGTGGAATATAAATATTGGATAGTTTAAAGATAACATAAGACCCGTACGGTTTTTTTTTATTTTAACATTAATTGAAAGGAATTTAAACGAAAGTCATTCCCTTACTTTATTTTTCCGCTTGACCGTTGTAAAAAACACATTTTATGGAATAGTGTGATTCCAATTCTTTTACGGTGCCTCAAACAATATTTTTACATCTCATTTGATACGTGAACACTAACTTTGATATTTATGTGATAATATAATGAGTTTCTTCCAAATATATACAGTCAATCCCATAGGTCACATAGAAGGGCGCGTTTTAAGTTCTCGTTCTAGATTGTTAGCTGTACTTTGTTTTATCAAGCTAATAACCTTATTAGATTCTACCTAGAAATGTAAATACTTTTACCAAATCACCGTAGTTTAACTTTGCACAACAATAACACTGGTATAATTACTTATTTTATCACTTTAATATCACTAATGAAACACAACTCGAACGATTTAATTTGTGATACCGATTGGGCAGCACTATCGCGTATACTTTTCGTTGACAGCCAGAGGAAGACGAAGACCATGAAATGCTTCGTGCAGCTTCATTTATACCTCATAGAGTGACACTTATTTTAGTGTTGCCAACAACCTCAAGGAATGACTTCTTTTAATGTTGCCAACAAGATCAAGGATGAAATCAATGGATAATCTTTTCAAATCGAGGAAGAGATGTTATCGATTTTTGGGAACTTGCCCCGGTAAAGCTACGGTATACAAGTGTCACAGACGATATTCAGTCAGCAATGAGGAAGTGACTGAGGTGGTCCGCTTGTGATCTTGTGGTCGTGCGTTCGAATCTAGTGCTCTTTGGAACAGGCTCTTTATAATTTTGCCCCCAGGGATTTTCTACTTTTGAAATTCTTTTTGTTTTAAAAACCACTGTAACGTGCTCTTTATCGGGCACTGTGTCCCGGCCCGGCATTTCTCCTCACTCTTGGGACTTAATAAACTCAATGAAAAGTGAATAGTCATCCCCGTGAAGGTTAAAATACGCGAGAGCTCGTTAGTTACTTACCCCGCCCTGTATTTATGCATTTTTCTGCTTAATTAGGTCACGTCGAGACACTCTACTGTCATTCTTTTTGTTAATGAATGCATTTTGAAATTTTGCTTATTTTTACTTGCATATAGGTCTCATTCGCTGGTTTGTTCGTTGCTCTGTATCAGCTCTTCAGATTCTCGTTCCTTATCATTATTTTATGCTTTTGTTTCTCGAAGCGCACACCGACTGTTATCAGAAATAGGAGATACTAACGGTCCATTAAACTCATATGTAGGCCATTAGCCTGGGCTATTAGAGTGGTTGAAGTTTGATGTGTACGGCTCATTCGATTCGGCCGGGATCGATTGCGGTTGGGGATTTAACCTCGGCCTCTTACTTGTGGACGCTTGCTTATTGATTTCCCATTTGCGCCCCCTACCTATTAATTGAAATTTTCCATTTTAACTTGTTGCATCTGAAATTATTACTATAAATAATGTACGAAAAAAAAGCAAAGTAAACAATAGCACAATATTTTGATAATTTTTCCCTAGCGGTGATTAACACTTGACAACGGCGTATGACGGTCCGCGCAGTAGAATGAACGACATTGTCTTTTGTTTGATATTAAAACAGCGCGCCTCATCCGTGCCAATGTTAAAAGCTACTTCCCTATATTAAAAAAAATGAATCCCAAACGCACAGACCGGTTGTAAGTGGTGTCAACTATTGTTAGGGTTTCGGTGCACACTCGTTGGGTTGAACCACTTACAACCCTTGCTCGAAGTTTCAAAGGGTAGGTCCCGACTCTATTCAACCTCGTTCGCCTGTGTAATTAGGGCTGCCACCTATAATGTTGCGCCCTGACTTTGAACTCTAGGTTTTAGACCTATTCCCTAGTAACGCACACATTGTCTGCCCAGAATTTTTTTTAATTAGCGTAGGGTGGCAGCAATTTAGTTTGGAATAAAGCAACGCGCTGAGTTGAAATATGTGGTGCAATTGTAATTACGCATAGACGAGTGTAATCGATGTATTAAACGTGTTTTTTAATTAAAAACGTGTCTTATTCTGCAATTATTATTTTGGTATTATAGACGGCAATCGTTTTCTTTATTGTCTAGAAATATTATCGACATTTCGAGAACTTAATTTAGGGAATAATGTCAAACAAATTAGACTGGTAGAAAAGTCTGTGAAGAATGACATCTCGTAATAAATCTTCTCAACGGTCGCGGTATATGTACCATCTTCGATCTTACAGTACGTTTTACAGGTTGTAGACAGGTTTCTTCTGTATAAGGGGCAGTTTCTTGTGCATAAACGGGCTGCTTTACGCTCTCAGACAGCCTTCCGTTGCGGTAGGCTGTAACTCTTCGATGGTTGCGGAAGCCCATAGGCGGTGAAAAAGATACACTCAAAGGTCCCTGAGTATATTAGAACTGTTCATCACGGAAAGTTGGCAACCCTGTGTTTTACATCCGGGTATGGTTTCACAAGCATTTTGTGAGTCGGATAGTTTTTTTTTTCCTGTTTCAGTCCGCTTTGATTTCCGCTCGCAACGAGCGGCCTCATATCCAGCGCACAAAAAGTGCCCATACTCGATTTTTTGTATTGAATAAAAGTTGTGGTTTTCCGGAGTTTTAATTGAACATGAAAATTCTGTGTTCGCGTGTACGGGGGCTGTATTTGAAAAACTCTTTTCGGTTGCAACACGCCGAGCCTTGGAGCACGGATCGGCGGAGCTTTCGAATTTAATTTTTTAAACCATTTTTACATGTATTCCCATATGGACAGTCGCGAATAATGGAGCAGCGTTGAATATACTACCTAAACTCTCTTTATTTTAATTTATTCAAGCCGTATTTAGTAGTGCCGTTAAGTAGCCGTTTAATAGTAAGGCAGTGCGCAGTTTGAAAATATGTATTTCAACTACATGAACTAGAATATATATTTACTTATATTTGTTATTCAATTTCAAGAAAGCCACCGAAGAATTTTCAACAAATAGTTGCCTAAAGTTGAAATTTCATATAGCCTTGCAAGAGAAGCAACGATTGACTTTGCATTTGTTCAAAGTCAAAATTCCTGTATTCAATACAGGCTTAATTTAAGTTCTTATTGAACGTCAAAAATGTCTACCACCGGTTCACCAAACTAGACCTGAACAGAGTCTTCCTCTGTGGCAGTAAGAAACTCTGTTATCTCTTATTTCTTTTTTTGTGATACAATAATAAAAAGTTATAATGTATGTGGAAGTTTTAAGTATGTTGGGCGTATATTGGTAATATTTGCTTCTAAGTGTAATGTATTAAGAGTTGTGCTGCAAAGACGGATAACAAAATGTGTTATCCGTCTTTCCGTCAGGAAATAGGGTGATATGAAGAATTTAATTTGACTTGCAATTAGAACATGATGATGAAAATTGATCATCTCGACAAATTATCATGGCTCAATCAACAGCTTCGTAAGTTGTACAAGAAAAAAAATAAAGAAAGAGTTACATATAAATATGATGTCACAGTTTACCAAGCTTTGTTATTATTAATACATCGTACCTAAACACTCATCAAACTTAACAGTGACAGATTGGTATAGATCGTTCTTTATTTACTGCTTGAAACGGGAACAAATATAGTGTACCTAATACATCTGAACGGTCGCAGTGTTGGCAGAACGACAGACAACACAAAAATAAATAGATGATAAAGAAAATTACAGGGAGTACTAGATGAAGCTTTCCCATTATCGTTCGCTCGACGGTGGCAATGAGAAGTGTTTCCTTCGCGATCAGGCAACACCCTTTCCGTCGGCCGCGCCGCCTCTAGCCGTTTGAAAGCGCTCACTCGAATTTGACGGTTCGCCGAGTTTACTTTTGTAAATTCATTTGTATAGCTTTCGACCCACGTCTCGAAGGTTCACCTTAACAGTTATTTGTTACTTTTTTTAATAAATATTACACACAATTTAATGGTCATGCGATCGCACGTTGGTCAACTTTATTCATGTCAATTGTATTTAATTTCATGTCACCATCCGCTAATGCCTGTATACACATGGGACATAATTATATAGGTTATTGTTTTCCTTTTTACTGTAATGCCTGAGTGGCCACTGAAAAGGAATTCGGAACTCCGCCGTCACGCGAATACCTACGGATCGTTTACTCGTTCGTATAAAAATGCACCGAGCATCGTTCGGCCGCCATTACTGCGTGACGTCCGCCGGTGAGTGGCAGTGGCAGTGGCAGTGGCGGGCCAAACAAGGGTCGTGTGCTTGCACGCCGCTTGCCCAGGACATGATGGCGCGGACACGTGACGGGATAACTACGTGATATATACTAATGTTATAAACGGAAAGTTCTCTGTGTTTACACTTGGCTTGTTTGTTTCTTCAACACGTCGGAGTTCTCCTGTACATTTGGGGATCGATTTAAAACAACTCAATGACTTAAGTTCTTTAGCGATTTTAATGTACATATACATTTTGTACATAACAATACTAACTGTTACATCCGTTAAAATGAACTTTAAAGTTTAAAAACGCTAGTCTTTTATCTAATCGTCGACGCAGCAAATTATATGATATTAAAACTGAAATTTAAGAAGATAAATATTCTAATCATGGAATTTTTGGTACCAATTACTGAAATCACGGTTTTCAGGCCCCTATAAAACCTTGTTTGGACATGTATAATATTTTTCTCTCTCCTAGAACCTAAAGAAATTAGTCTTACGTAGTCACAATTTTTTAATTAAATATTTAATAATTACACTTATCTCAACAAAATGCAGAAAAGTAAATAATATGCGATTAGTCTTACGTAGTTTTTTTAATTAAATATTTAATAATTACACTGTTTGCGTCAAATAATATGCGATCTGTTTTTCGTGTTTCGTCAAATTGCCTCTTGTTCGCATCAAACAAGTATTCGTGGATCTGTTAGGGACTAAAACGTTTATGCCGACTGAGCTTATCGCGACCATCTCAAACTTCGACTATTAATATCGACTCGAGCCCTACTAATTACTAGCTCCGTCCCTGTCTCGCACCATACACAGCGACGGGGACACACGACGCGGAGTCGATTGGATGCCATATCAGATAGTTCACGCTTCATTACCCTCGTCTGGGGTGGCCGGTTGCAAAAAAAATCAGCGAAATGTCGCCGGTGCGCTTACTAGACCTTTTTTTTTTTTTTGCGATTTAATATATGATATGAAATGTAGTATATGACGCGAATAATGTCCTAATGTATTATATCATTGAAAATAAGTGGGAACAGAAAATTTTGTGTTTTCTCTTCTACGGCTTCTTTACAGTTTTTTTTATTAACTTCTGACTAGTTCTTGACTTAACAACCACTTAATCGTAAGTGGTAATGTACGTTTTGGTGGCTTATGTGGCTAGCTGTATAAATGTTGTCCACTCATCCCATAAACTCACTGTAAACATATCACTTAAAAAATATATAAACGACAATCATTGGAAATTTTGAACTTGTTCTAATGCGATTGATTGCCTTTTTAATGCGATTCCATTGAGTGAGGAGGAGAAGACGAGGAATAGTTTCCGATGTACTGTACTCACTGGACGAATGTAACTGTGGCTACTCCGTCGAATCGCCCTGTCGGAGGCAGACCTGCCCCCGGCTCATGTATGCAAATGTTCAGATCAACGGACCGCAAGTGGGAATTTAGGAGGCTCACGTGAATCATATTTCGATAGCGGAACGATGTGCAAACATGTGATATTTTCAATAAAGCTGACTCTATTTATTTACCCTCGGATACGTACATAGTATACGATGTTATATTGAAATAGTGATCATCTTTACAATTGTAAAGGGATAATAATAAAACTCGCCTGTAACGGAACCCTGTTCGTATTGTGACGACGTGTATGATAAATAATCTGTAGTCGTTCCATTCATACAATAAATATATTCAGACAGCATGAATACGAAGCCAGACAATCTTAAGCAGCGATCATAGTTTAAGAAAACGTGATCTACAGATCAGACCTGACATTATTCATGGTGGAATTATTCAACTTTGTTATTCATTGCGGATTATACACCCCCGTGAATGTGACGCGGTGTCAACGACACGACGCACTCAAAGGGAACACGGAGCCGTTGACTATTGTTATAGTGTCGTTGCGTTTTAATCCGCTATTTAGTGGCCGTTATGTCGTAAAGCGGCGGCGTAGAGTCGGGAATCGTTCAGCTTTACACGACCGATGTAAAGGTGCGTCTGCTGTGGTGTGCACTGAAGAATTACTTTTGGATGAAAATCACCAATCACCTATCGACTATCTGACGACCTTTTCATAATTATGTATATGGCAGTAGCGCCATTCCCGCTAATAAAATGTGTTCATTTCAAAACGAAAAATAATTAATGGTTACTACTAAAGATTCCTGAATGCTCAGTGTCCGGGCACTCGCCTATTCAATTTTTTTTACTCGAGCAGGTTGCTCGATTCCCGGTGCCAGCACCAATGAAATTGATATGGTCATGTTGATATGGTTGGATATGGTTGATAAGTCCCCCATTACGCAGTGTGACTCGTGTACAGGAAGCCTTTGCTCAGCAGTGGGACATGTACGGCCTGTTACTTTGAAGATACCGATTGTTAGTATGATAAAATATTTTTGTTTTTACCTCTCACCGGTAATGGTAGTAAACAGTTGAATGCTTTGGTGAAACAGTATTTTTGAATATTCTTTAGGCTTTTTCTAATCTTATGCTCAAGGCTTTGTAGCTAATCGTAGCTCCAAAGTGTTTTAACAAAAAAGATTATAGCTTTAATGTGTACAGATGTTCTAATTGCGTCGTAGCCTCTGCAGTCGCGGCTTATAGCGAAGCGGCCTGACTCCGGGTCTGCGTGCTGTGCTGGATGCCGGCGGATGCGGAGCGTCTCTTTTGCATTCATCCGATTCAAAGGCAAGCTGTCACGCCATTAAGCAACATCGGGCGCCCTGTAATTGGACTAGACGCGGCGCCTCCACTCGTTTACATAATGCCCGGGCCTCATTAGTGGGTTGTATCGTTGCGTAAGACGGGGCCTAACGAGACCCCCTCCCTCTCCCCTTAAACTCTTTCGTTGTTCATAAATAAGCGGCTCATGGTGAATTGAAGGGTTCATTTATTACGGCAGTATTCGAATTTCCCATATTTTAATGTTCACGGACCATTACAAAATCACCCGAGTCTTTCATTCATACTGCGTGATGGTTTGAGCCAAGACAGAATAAGCTTGTAGTGTCTACGTATAGACAACTTTACCTTACATGATTTTGCTTTTGGTGAAACCAAATTACGTGATCATGTGTTCAAATTACAATTGGGAATGTCTTCACAGACTGAGTTAGCGCGAAGGTCTTCCCGGTCGCGTTTGTTAGACAGTTCGTAACGCGTGCGCGGTTCGCGGCCATCTCTCACTCAAACCCTATTAGCTGGATGTGCTGTCGACTGTCGTGTCAAATTTGCGTCTACGTGTGACGCGTAATTAGGCAGTATACGTTCGGAACCACGGAGTTTCATTCAACACGTATGAACACGCGCAAGTTTCGTGGAAAAAGATGAAATAATTGAACCCACCTCCGAAGCAGATCGTTTTACACAGTACTTTGTCATTTGGAGTTTAGTCATGTTGTACGTAAATAGTTCGTTTTATAGGATCTACTTATGATACTTGTGGACTTTTTAAGTATTTGCAAAACAGGTTTTATTCTTAACTACTCTAGAGTCTTTTGAATTCACGTTTTCATATGTTGTGTGATAGCGGCCTTCCACTACTTTTACATAAATGTTATTATTACGTATCACTTAACAGATAGGTGATGATGGCACAAACAAATAAAAAATAATAGTATTTTGATAATTAATGAGTGCGAGTAATGCTTCTATTCTATGTTAAATATAGATATTTGAATTTGAATAAATAAAAGCTATCGGCTGTAATTGTGGAGCAATTTGCTCCGAGGGAAAAGTTGTTGATAAGGCGACGTAAAACAATCAAACATCAAAACTTTAAACATCGACTTTCGTTTGAGTTCCCAAGTGTACTCTCAGTGATGTTTATATCTCGTTATTGTGCTGTAAAGCACTTGCAGCGCTTTTTAGTCCTACAATGCCGTATTTATTATTTTCTATGGATTTATTGTTCGTCTTGTTGGGATAACTATCTTGTTGCGCCCAAATTCTCTTTAGTTTCAATGCGTTCAATTGCGATGTAAGGCATTCATTCTGTTTATTTTGATAGGGAAATAAACTAGCCTATTTAGTTTCAAAAAACCTTCCAATACAATTCGACTCTATTTTCGACGAGGCAATTAACATGAAGTCGACACTTTTCCTCCTAAAAGTTTCCTTGCTAATCTATGAAAAATGGTGTTGCCACTATTGTGCTTTAAAGTATATAAATTGTGCTTTAAAGCAAAGTGAACCCCGGCGATGATCATCAGTGCTAACCGTTTCAATTTTACCGCGGGACAGGTGCGTGCCCCCATGCCGCCGCCGCCCCACTGTCAGAGGGCGCGTTCCCTCTACGCTTCTCAAATCTCTTACTCTAGGATTAGTTTTTATTTTTAGTGCTAATCTCTGCACTCAAAATGAACTTACTACAATGTAATTTTTATAGATTTATCTATAAACTAAAACTTTTGGCGCCTCGTAATTCGTACCCGCCCCTTAGTGAGATTTCGAAAAGCATCTTGGCGCGATCCCAGAAGACGCCAATTTCATTCGTTTATCTACAAAAATTCACGCTTTACCCTTCTTAACTTTAACGTTTTGTTTTGTATTCAAAGGTGTATTCAATTTTTTTTATATTTAGCTTATGGTCTTTATAAAACGTATTTCAGGGACATTATTTTCAAGTTACATGGAGTCATTTCTGTCCCCTGGAACTGCACATTTCTGTGCAGCATGATTCTTCTATCAACTCAGTTGGGGTAGATGCCGCTTGCAGTTCTAAAACATTTATTTTTTGACAGTATACGAAGTACCCATAACGTACCATAACGATGGTAGTGCGACGCAGCATCCTCGGCTGTTGCACGAATGGGCAGGCTCGTCCGGGTAAGTACTGCGACCTCACAGAAGACCGGCGTAAAGTGGAAGTAGGTGGCCGGAGCCCAATTTTCAAATTGCAATCCTCGGGTGTAGCAGATGTCCATGGGCGGCGGTATTCACTTAACATTAGGTGAACCGTCTGCTCGCTTGGCAACTTTTCACATATAAAAAAAAAATTAATGCGTATTAAATATTTATACATGCCGTTCTAATGACTTACCTGAAGTTGCACGGATCACGCCACAGAGTCTATATGACCCGGCGTTCAATATTGGGTAGGACCGAGCACGAATCGGCGACGCTGCACAAGTTGCGAGTTCTCGTTCCAGTAATTAATTTAGTTCAAATATTACGGTGATTATTTAAAATCAGTGTTATTTCGATAATCTAAAATAGTGCCAGACACCGCTACGTCAACATAATTATGTATATTCCTACTTTTTTAAATGACATGAAATCTGATAGGTTACGATGTGAAACAACGAGGCCACGCCCCGTGCTCGTTCTTACGGCTTCCCCGCTCGAAATTAAGCCGTGCGAGGCGCTCGTGTGCGGGCATTGATAACCTGGAAGCGATACGCGGGGTACCCACCCTCAGCGAGCGCTGCGCGTTGCGTGCTCACCCCGCTCGCCTCCGCGCTAATTGCGCCGCTCTCACAGCGGCCGCGCACCCATAACTCGCTGGTTGAGTACAGCCATGAAATACGAAATAACATCTCCACATATTATAACAATAACGCTCGCACTCTAAAGGCAAGCACTACTTTCTGCTCGTGCACGTTGATTGAGCTCACACTGGAGATATACACCGCCATAATATAGAAGTATTTCTGCCATTGCGTATTGTCTGCTGATTCTGATCGCTACAAGATTGACCACGTGTGTTGTATCTGCTTTCTCCCTGGTGTTATAACTACCCATCATCTTTGTCGTTTGATACTATTTCAAATGGAAAAAATACATTTATTTCTTTCTTTTTCAGGTAATGGACTTTTAAAGGACATCTCAACAGAACTAAGTAAGCCCTGATTCCAATTGTCTCGTTGCACGTTTTTTTACAAGGCGGATTAAGTAATTGTCCGATTTGTCTTCTCTTAAAATTTATTGTCTTTTAAATAATTACTTCGCTAAAGACCGTTTCGTATAATTTTTGCGGCCCAGGAGCAAGAAATTCTTGATGCTCATTGCCTGCACTATAACTGACCACTCCCGGCCTTTCAACAGATTAATTGCAAACCTAAATTAGCGTTTTTCGGAAATATTCGCACGCAGGACTATTAAAGAAATCGTGTTACTTCGTGAACTTTCAGTTTAGTCCTGCGAGAGGATTACGCACATTAGAAGTGGACAGTTTGATCTTTTAAGTACTTACTAGGACTAGGAGCTCGACTAAAATAATCCCGGTAAATCACGATTACAAACATAATGATTTTAGGCCCTTCATTTTTAGAAAACATTTTGTCATGTACGTTTGGTTTGGTACGTTAACTTGATAGGTTCCCAGGTCAGTTCCCAGAAGTTTGCCTTGTAGCTACGCGCGGCATTGGGGTGGGGGGGTGGCGGTATATTGATTACGTACGTTTGCCGCCTGCACTCCCCACGGCCCAAATCAATGCAACACTCAGACGGCAAAACAAACGAGATCCGAAACGCACCCTGTTTGTGGACTCGCCCGTGTGCGCAAACAATGCAACGCCACCGGTGCGACGATCCGGATTTGAAGCCGCACACGCGCTCAACCTTTAAAGGCACATCTCCGCAATGGACGCTGGCGCCGTGCCAGATAGCGCATCGGAACCTAGCATATTTTATACATATAGTGGTACTTTCTAAATTGTACATTCCATCAAATATGATGGAACATGGATATATTATAAGAAGAGATGATTATTTTTAAGTTTATAATGAATCAATAGAAATAAAGTTGTTATTTTGTAGGATTCATCAGAATTTATTCTGCATGCCTATGTGTAATTGCTTCAGTCCATTGGAGCCCAATGGGCAAACCCCAAAATCAGGACTGTCCAAAGGCTGGGGCTAAGGAGTAAGCACGTCTCCACAGAGACGCCGGTACAGGGCATGGGAAGGTTCCTTTAAAATTGGATTATGGTTAACCTATTGAATGGATACACCAAATAATCCTTTGCCAGTCCTTTTAACATTCACTTTCACCATGTTTCCTGAAAAGGTTCACAGCGTCATCTGTTAAACAATTATTTTTACTTAAATCGCAAATATTACAGACAATATACAGTTAGAAAGATTCGGAACACTAAACACTTCCCCGCGCCGTTTACGCAACGTGTTTAAATTAAAGTAAATGGCCTACGTACGTACGAACATAGATACACATGTAGTGCGACAGTTATAATAAAGGCGACGCGCGGGCATTCCTTTTCGGGGATAACCTTTAACTAAGTCACGACATTAAATGTTAATATGTAACGCCACCCGGCGGCCGAATTTGATTATGCCGCACCGGGGGCTCGCACGCGAATTGCGCCCTTGCCCCGTGGCAGTAGGGGTGGTATCGGCGTGGCGCGTTGTTCACGCGGGGCGGGGGCGCGTGGATCAGCCTCGTAATGAAATCCTTAATGCGTTATAAAAGGCGGTCGGCTGCTCGTCCGGGATGTTGCAGCTTCATTAGCGGGCCGCGGGAGGGCGCAACCGCACGTGCGCCGCGTCAACCCTATCTGGCTCGTGAAACTCACGCCAGCAATAGAAGTTGCTTCCCAGGATGATGCCTCTCTGTTGAACGGAGGCCGTTGCATTCTCGACCACGACCAGCGTGCTGTGTTAATACTTTTATTATTGTTAGATTTATTCCTTAAAATTAAAAAGAATTTACAGTTTTTTTATGTTTTCGAAATTCCGATCCTTTAAACTCAAATTTATTTTCGCCATTGCCACTAATACGTTACATTGATAGAAGATTACATTCATTTATTTTTCCATTATATATAATTAAGATACTGTGCAAAATCTCCCTATGACTTTTAGAGGAATGGAGAATTTATTTTATTATTTGCGGTTTACTTGGGAGCCATGAAGGCTGCCGGCGAACGGGCCCAGGGCCTACGAAATAATCCAGAGTCCTTATTTGATCGCGCAGTATGGTTACCTTAGCGACGCAGAGGGCTAATTGGATCCGCGCTCGTGCATCTCCACTCTGTCTCGGTGCTTATTGTCGGGAATTCCAATGTGTGATAAATTGCTCGCCGAGTATTCGCTTTCAGTTTGCCGGCGAGCATGTTTTGCGTCGGTCGCTTTAGATGGCTTTTAGTAGTGAACTTTATAGCGGAGCGATTATATCCGCGTCCGGCTCCCTCGTGTCGCAATGTAGAATTGTTCCCCTTTGACGCGGGACCCTTGCGGCGCACTTTCCGACTACTCCACTCTACTCAGCCTTCAGCGTGCGCAAATTGATGGAAACATTTTCACTCGATATGTATTTTGAGGGTCGCAGATAAACTTGATCGATTCTAAGACTATCCTGCACGCTTATCATTGGAGTGCACTGGAGGCTCTGTTCACGAGCCAACTGTGTCGAAACGTAGGGTAGGGCCGGGGGAGTACTTTCGACTCTCTCGCTTCGAAGGCTGCCCTCGTCTCGTTCGCAGCTTTTGTGCAGTCCCCATTTAAATTCATCTACGCATTTCGCTCCCGTTTGTCAGCAGCCGACGCGAGATTTTAATCACTTAGCTGAGACGCGAGACCTCTCAAACAGAGCGGCCGAGATGACGCCGCGTGTTTGTTGCACTCCAACCAAACTCGTATCGGCCGCGGAGGATGCACGTGTTCATTTCAGTGCGTTGGGTCGCGATTTGGAAATCACGTTATTGGTGTCAATTATATTGCACGATAACTCAAACCTAAACCTATTAGTGGGAACTTTAACAAGACACATAATTTTCTATTAATAATATAAAAGAATATTTAATAAGTAATAAATAAAAAATAAATAATTAAGACACACTTTCGTGTTAAAATGACTAAGATTGTATGAGAGTGTATCGGTCTCCTTTAAATCTGAGACAACGAAGCGGTTAGCAGTGGGCGGCGCGACTTCCTCAGACGTTAATGAAATAGACGTTCACGACACGACCTGAGCGTCCGCAGACACCGGCGATTGGAGCGATCGCTAAATTACAGGGAGAGGATATCGTGCACCTGAAGCGAAACTGCTTCACATGTTTTCCACTTTTCAAGATAATAAACCATATAATACTCCGTTGTCATTACAAAGTGGTACAATACGTGGCAACCGTGTGGCCTGTCTGGGAAGGCAGTTTCGAATATCGAATATATAAAATATTATTATTTAAGAGGGCTAACAATTCACTGTTTTATGTTTGAGCTCTCCACGCGGTAACATACTATTTGTCGTTGTTACATAGCAACATATGTATGTACGTATTTACACACTAAGAATGATGGTACAGTATCATTAATAGCCTTGTTCGTAGTTAAGGACAGAGGCATTTAATGTATTTTTTTTTTAATTGTATCACTCTTGCTGATCAATTCTCTTATAATCCAATATGAAAAGTGGCGATAACCACAACCTGATATTGGAATCTGGCGTCGCCACCCGCGTAATGCGCGAGTCGAGCACGGCCCCCGCCGCCCACAGAGCCCACACCGGCCAAATCGTCCCCATTAGTTTTCGCGTAGCGTAGAGCAAATTGCTGGCACGCCGAGGTGTTTACTCGCAAACGGTCTACCGTACATTTGATTAGGGCCGAAAAAATACTGGAATACATGCAGCCTCGCATTATCGTGTTTATTAAACGCTACCAAGCCATGCGATGTGCACTACTTGCTCAGGACCGGTTCACACTATCGACTGTAGATGTAACCATCTTCTTACGAATAAATGACAAATTAATTTTACTAAAAGATATCGTTGATCTGTTTGTGTTTATCTAACTTCTGAACGATCCGATCGAATTAAGTATTTTTTATATATATTAGTTATTTACTCAATGTAATCAATATTTCTTGAAGTTTCATAGTTTTGGAGCTATAGTGCCATTGTTGAAGGCTCGTTTAGAGTTTTCCCGTTACAATAGCCCTGTGCCCCACAATAATACGATAATTTGTATTGCAAAATTTATAGATTAAATTTCTAGGATAACTGTGTAGATAGCAATGGCGAAATAATAAATTGCCCGTGGGTGCATTACCATAATAGAAGCTACATTTATTTCGACGGCATACAAAATTATATGAGTACATTTTCTGTTAACATCATTTATGTTCACGGAGTTATTTAATGAGATTGGTTGTTTTTTTATGTGAGACGGTGGCAAGCGAGCTGGCGGTTCACCTGATGTTAACTGTTAACTGCCGCCCTTGGAAACTTGCAACGCCCGTGGGGTTGCAACCTTATAATAAACCCACATAGCCGGCGCCCACTTTATTTAAAGGTGGCGACGCATTTGCAACCCTACGGGTGTTGCAAATGTCCACGGGCGGCGGGTATTACTTAACATCAGGTGAACCGCTAGCTCGTTTGCTACGTTTTCACATAAAAAAACAAGTGGGCCCCGGCTATCTCACTCACCAGACGAAACGCAGAAGAATAACACTTTCAGTTGACGCCGGTCTTCTATGGTTTCGTGGTAATTTCCCGTACGGACTTCCCATTCGTGCAACAGCGAACTGTTGCATGGCCCTGCCACAGTTGGTGCAAGGATCGTAAGGCAGTTATGTATGCCTTGTCTAGTTACCACTCTTCTTGATCTTGATAGCACTGCATGTAGTTGCTTATTGTGCGAGGATTAGTGATCGGAAAAACCGCCTTTGGACATAAAAATATGTGAATAAGAAAGTGAATTCCTTTTTGTTTTTCGTATAAGTCATTCATTCCTCGTACTGGCCATCGCAGTGTGGGACGACCCCCCACTAGATGGAGTGACGACCTGTGCAAATGTGCGGGAAGTCGATGGATGCAGGTGGCTCAGGATCGTACTTCGTGGCAGTCTATGGGGGAGGCCTATGTTCAGCAGTGGACTCAAACAGGCTGAAATGATGATGATGATGATAAGTCATTCTTACTTATTTCCAGTTAAGTGTTTATTTCAAAATGAAATTGTGACGAAGTATATAATTTCTTAGTATTTTATAAATATATTTGCTCCTGGGCTGCATCTTACAATACACCTGGCGAATGAATCTATGTGATACGCACTGAGGATATCTAATTCAAAAAGAAAATGCATATGGAATGTGGCGGAGGGCGCTAGTGCTAACGCGCCCTTGCACGGAAGTGGCTCGGTGCTGGCTGTCCAAGCGGCAATTTCACGTATCGTGCCTAACCAAGCCCGGTGCATAATTTAATTGTGACTCTGATTTATGTCTTTGTTCGCGGATGGTATGATATGACCGGTGTTTCCGGGCCGTTGTCCATGAATATATAATTTAGTAGTTTGCTTTTTAACTACATGACAATATGGAGCGCGTTTCACGTCAAATGGAGTGAGATTAAAAGATAAAACCTAGTTTTATGGGTTTCAACCGTTCGCATTTAATTAAAAGTTCGTGTTTGTTCGTGTTGTGTTTAACGTACACACAAAGTTTTAAAATTGGTGTGATGAAAAAAATATAATTTGTTATAATTATTTAGCTGCTAATTAATAAAAAGTTTCTAAGACAGTTTCTTTTTAATAACAAATTGAAATTCTCGCCACCGAAGAATAAGCATCTGAAATTAAATCTTTTCAGCTGATCTTTATTTTGGTCGATATCCTAGTCCGTCGATAATTTGGCTGTACATAGGTTCACTATGGCAGCAGATGACACTGCTTTAAGTTGATAGGGTACTTTGACAACGCATGTGGGAGAAAATGTCGAATTGGGGATGGGGACCGCGTGGCTGGCTGTGGCGTGTTTTGCTTCTTTGCCGATAGCCAGTAATCGACGCCGTGCGATCGGATGCTAGGACGATTAAAGGCCATTTCCGCGTTAATACTTAATTCGGGACCATCGATCGCGCCCAACTCGATTGCGAGGCGCGTGCGAAACGCCACATGCTCCTGGCCTGACGGCCGGGGCCGCTGTTCTGCCTGCCAGTGGGGGTCGATTCGTATAAGCAAAATTAAAAATAATTCTACTTTGCTCAAGTCTTTTCAAAGCGGCAGAGTTTCGTGCCTGTTCTTCGCGCGTCGGTCAGGTCTAGTTTAATGAACCGGTGTTAGTATATTCACTTTCAATAAGATCTTAAAATAAGCTTATATTGCATAAAGAAATGTTCACTTTGACTTTTGTGTGGCCGTTTTAATTTCCCTGGTAAGCCTTACATCATGCAGCAGCAAAAGTAGCAGGTTTGGCTCCAATAAATCCAGTCCAGGACCTAATTCTGAGTAATTCCCAAGGATGTTTCCCTTAGGATGTAAGGAGCGCGAAGCTGAGGTGTGATTGTGATGAGGTTTAATTATTTCCGAATTAGCTTTGCTCTGCTCTCGCAACGTCTGAAATTCTAGTCAATACAGCTGGAAGCTCTTTATATATGTTTAAATAATCTTTCACTATGAATGTTAAGCGTATTTTTCTTGTCTTTCAATGTAAATATCGTGTAATAATATTAATTAGGTTACTAAATTTATAGAGTACTAGTAACTATACAAAATTTTTTCATGTCATATTCGTTGCATTTGCTTTCTGTACCTATTGGTTGTCAACTGCTTCTAATGTCATCATTCCAATGCTTTATGCCTAATATGTTACGAAAAGGCTAACGAGTTTTTCTACGTCCTACATTTCGTACGTTACAGCTGATATTCGGGCATTAAAACGGAGTCCACTTCCAAATCCACCACTGTCAAATTCCACTTCCACTGCGACATGGGATATCAATAAATGCAAATTAAAGTCTCTGGCATTTTTCTTGTGGACTTAGTCCACAGCGAAAATATTAATTTGTTGTTCTTATTGCCAGTATGGCCAATTTAGCATGTTGCTAAATTGGTAACAGTGGCGAGTAGGTGTTTGTAAATTAATTCACGATTCTGCCAAAATTTCAAATTACTTTTGTCGATGTCCGTCGCGAAGAAATCCAAAAGCCGTGTGCGAGGTATTTGTATCGCCACATAAAAATTCTTGGCACACGGCAATACTCATACCTGCAATGTCGCGCATAATTAAATGTGATGCCAGCGTTACTCCTTAAATTAATGCAACGCCGAAGCCAATGAACCGAAACAATGTCATGATTTAATACAGCTTTATTTGGACCAAACTAGTAAAATCACTGAACGGGGTCGTTGCGTTTGCGTTTCTTAGAATCTTTCATCATCATCATAATATTTTACTTAGAACGACATTTTTTTTTTATGTCAAAAGTTGCCAAACGAGCAGACGGTTCACCCGATGGTAAGTGAATACCGCCGCCCATGGACATCTGCTACACCCGAGGGTTACAGGTGCGTTGACAACCTTTTGAGAATTGGGCTCCGGCTACCTCACTCACCAGACGAAACGCGAAAGTATTTGTCATACTTCCACTTTACGCCGGTCTTCTGTGAGGTCGTGGTACTTACCCGGACGAGCCTGCCCATTTCGTGCAACAGCCGAGGCTGCTGCGTGGCCCTACCACCCTATTATAACATTTTTATTACGGTGAAATTTACCGTCATATTCGAATGATATTTTTCATTCCTTGAAAAACTGGGATAAAATGACATTTCAAAAATGAAATCTCATGAGATTCCGAGTATATATACACAAGAATGCCCGTTTAAAGGTATAAGATAGACTAGTTTCCTTTTTTAATCCATTTTTATTTGTATCTTTTAATACGTTTCAAAGAACGATGTCGAGGTAATTCACAGACGTCTCTATTGTTAGAATTTAAGCCCTGCCTCCGAAAACATCGCCACGTCATGACTTTAGTGCATAGCCTCATTTAGATATAAGTTGATTAACTCGTTCGGTGGCCTGACATATTTCAAATTACACCCCGCTGTCTGAGGGGTTGCGACGAGCCCACCGAGCGGACGCAATCTCGCCGCTCGCCGCTCGCCGTTAATTCCATTAGTTATCCGCTGACCCGTCACGCGCTTCATTGCCACTTCTTATTTTATAGCCTCGGGCCTGCTTTGATCATTTTAGGATTGTGTTATTTTCGCGACACGACCTGCCCCGACCTTCATGCCTCCCTGGAGTCTCACGCCCTGTCGTCATCTATTTATAGCACAATCCACACCATATTGACCTTTAGGTCCTAGGTCGTAAGCGTGGACCTAAAGGTCCATACATATCTTTCTCTTATTCTCTAGGAGTGACCTTAATTAGTGAACGGTGTCGTTCATAATATACAAACACACTCACACCTATACTTTCTCAAACTTTCAATAAATACCCAGTTTAAGGACATATTTTTACTCAGCTTCAACTAGTACCAAACATTGTTCTACAAAGAAACACAAAGATTGTTCTAAGGGGAATTGGTAACTGATAAGTTCAATTAAACACACTTTTCTTTTTTTTTTTTTCAAATATTATAACAACGCCTTGTTCTTGCTTTGTTTTTTAATAATAATTAGTTTATTAATAATGATATGTAGGATATTTTTATGCATGATATATATACGATTTTAACTCGGTTAAATCTCGGTTTTGTTTCTTTGTTCAGGGAGTTTTAAAATTGCTATGAAATGACCAAAATGCACCAAAATCTTTGCATACAAGAGATAGGTATGGAAATGGCGTCGCGTTTGTGTTCCAGCCACCCGATGTACTGTGCGCAGCGCCCGATCCGACATAGTATATGAATGCGGATCAACCGCCCGCATTACCGTCCCATGGAAATAAAGCTCACCGAAGGGGCCTCTCCTTCGCGTTTTTTTTTTTTTTTTTTTTTGGGCTGGATGAGCCACTGTTGGCCTTAGGGGCCTTTACAGATCCGACGGACTTGAGGTGGCCTGACGCACGAGGCGCCTAGCCTGAAATCGGCGTACTATTATTACGCGTTATGGTGACTAAGCTCGAGGGCTCCCGGGGGACCGAACGGTTACCGGTTTGGGAGGCCGCCGAGCTCTTAGGGCGCTTCGGGCGCTCCATGGAGTGATCAGGCTCAAGGGTCCCTCGGCTTGGGCTGTCACTCAGCACGCGTTTAGCATTCCGATTCGAGGGTGCCCGAGAGGGCCGGACCTCGGCTTGATCGGTAGCTATTATCTGACTGGGTCTCCTTCGCGTCCTCTGCACCATATTTACGGCCGCCGCCACCATTTACGCCTATAACTCGATATTGCCTTTTAATCGACGGCGCATTTATTCGCGGACGCCGAGCCCTGATATACGGCCGAATAAATTTTCGGCCGATGTCCGAAATGGAATTCGATTATAACCGAATTTAGTTTTGGATTCGCTTCTATTAGCGTAACGTTTCCATTGGATTTATTACTTTCACCGTCATTTTCGTTTAAAGTTAAATTCGTTCGGCATGCCGCTACGTGCTTCTCTAAAGAAGGCCGCAAGATCAAAAGTGCTTTAGCGATATGAGTAAAAGTAGTGGGCACCATTTATGATGAAGGAATTTAATGGATGTGCTAAAATATTATTCAAAAGCTGCATCGTCTCCCCAGCCACGAATTTTTGGCGCTCCGTTGCAGCATACATTAAACGCGCCCGGCAAAAGTCGTAATCGTAAAGTCCCCGTATCGCCTCCGTCGATAAATCGTTGCCTCTCGCCGGCCCTGCCACATGCGGGCTACCGAAATATATTAGCACCGTCGGCCCGAGCTCGATGAATCCGAACCAACTCTCGAGCGAATCATTCCAACATTGTTTGCTTTTAATTGTACATGTAAATATTCTCTATATCGACACTGAATAGTTACTACTGTTTTAATAGTAATAATATTATAAGCATTCAAATAAAAAACATAATTCGATTGAGTTGAATGTGAAATTGTTAGATAAATTATCGAAAAATATTATTTAGAAGGTTAAGATTCAAATCCCGCACCATCGATTTTTTCGACCACTTAATGTCTATTAAACTCACGTTTCAATTTCCTGTCAAGTGCTGATTAGCACTTACAAGCACATTTTTATTAAAAAAAAACAAAAAAGCAAACTGACTACAAATATCACAGTCACTATACATTTTCTATTTGATTTTGAGGAGTTCCCTGATGTATGTTCGGGGTCCAAGGTCCAATAGCAATGCAATTAATGTAAGGGACTTCATGGAGGATATACCGAACCCAATACAAAAAGTATTTTCCAAATCAGCTCAGGCATCTTCGAGTGATCGGTGAGCGTATATTAAAAAAAAAGATTCCGACGAATTGAGAGCCTCCACCTTTTTGGAATTCAGTTAAGAATAAAAAAATGTCCTATAATTGGGTATGAAAGTAAAATTCTAAACCATAATACTCGTAAGACATCGATGAGATGTAGATACGATAATTTCATATGGAAAAAAACGATTTTATAATGTAATATACATTATACGAACTTTGAAGGATAGGTCTGTGCGCCTTATTTTTGTTTCAAATTTATTTTTTAACTCTAAATGCAGAGATAATTTCACTCTCGCACTTTTAGTTCCATTCACGCTTCATTCTCTTTCAGTCTCTCGCCTCTCTAATCGTCAATGTCTCACGCCAAATACGATTTTAGACGCGCTAAAACTATCAATGGCGAACGACTGCACTCGCTATCTTCATAGCGCAAGTGGAACGTTCGCAGTGCTAACTTTCGTCCAATTACGCTGCGGTGTGACGGGCGGTCGTTATGCCGCTTAGCGCGCGCTATCTTTACTGCTCCTCCTTACACCGACCGCCTGTAAACCACCGGCGATGCATATTACGTAGCCATTTCAATGTACATGTTCACTCGCTTGTTTTTCGGAATATAGATTATTACCGAATCCCTTCTCACATTTGAATATTTCGGCGCTTTAAATATTATTTTTTTAATTTTCATTAACGATCCAGGATTCTTCTCACAACTATAGTTGTCCATAATTAAATAACAGGCGATAATATGATTACTCCTTGGTGAGAAGAAGAGTATAGCTCTTACATGTAACGAGACTGGCCACGATATTGGATGCTTATTGCAAAATTACAAACCAATATAAACTAGACCTGTACGACTTGTACGAACCAGTGTATTACGACCGTAATTAATCAAAAGCGTGCTTTCGCCCGTTCCCCACCCCCCGGCCACCGCCTCTTTCAACTCGCTTATTTTTACGACCAACGAAGAAACCTCCGTTTCATTAGAGAGGCAAAAAGGAGCTTTCCAGAAAAAAAGAACTCTGTAATCTAGTTACGGCGAATGTTTAATGGTGTCACAAGTGACCCGCTTAGTACGGCTAATAGCGTGATGCGACGGCAACGCCTTACCCATTGACGTATAATAACTTTTTATTTTGAGAAAATTTCCTACTTAAATGCTTGCATAAATTCGTATACTTTGTGAAATGGGTATTTGTGTCCTGCTTTTTTGATGCCCAAATCCAAGTTCGGGATCATTTAGTCATACGTGCGAGCCACAGTCGGAGTGGCAGCTCGCACACGGTCCGCCCCTCCGCCCCACAGCACCGCCCGTGCTCTCATAAAACATTAACGCAAAGTATAGCATTAAATCTCTATAAAACATCCTGCCAGCTATCAAGGCCATATATCCCATTTAATAAATTGGCGAGAGTTTTAACGAGCTAGCGACGAATGTTCCTCGGGAGGGCGATACCGGCACTTGCGGAATACATTACGGCGCACTAGGGTGGCAACGCATCGGCCGGACGCCGTATTAGTTCACTGACCTATTACCACCTCACACCGCTCTCTTGAATTCAACAACATTAGGACTTACCCATTTGCGAGTTTGATGAAGAAGATTGCCAAGGTCTTAGGTGGACACAGTCCACTACCTGTTCATGATACTCGTAAAATATGTTAGAAATAATCACAGCCAAAATTTATTTAGGATTAATTAATTACTAAAAGGCATAAGGAAATTTTCTGGCGCGGCCGGGCTGCCAGATGTTCGGTGTATATATATATATATATATATATATATATATATATATATATATATATATATATATATATTGCTGCATTATAAACAGTATTTATGTCTTGATTAATAACATTCGTTTGTGCAAAGGCGAATGTAATACATCTATATTCAAGTCACGTACACAGACCCGTTAGCGAGTGCCTACTGTATATACGGTTATAGGATCAGAGTCACAAACAAAATTGTTCCTATATCTCAAAGCGTGCTATAATTAGGATGGTTAGGCAGCTATCAGACATCGACACTGCCAGACTTGTTTATTTCAGTTATTTCAACAGCATCTTGTCTTACGGCATTTTGTTGTGGGGTAGTGCATCTGATATAAACTCTATATTTATTCTTCAAAAAAGAGCTGTCCGAGCAATCTATAACATCGGAGCCCGGAATACACTCAGAGACCTTTTTAAAGAGATTAATACTACTGTTGCGTCTCAATATATTTATTGTAATATTTTGTATGTTAAACATAATATTAATAATTATCTAAAGAATAGTGACAGACATAAACTAAATACTAGAAATAAGGACAAACTAACTACGCCATTATTTCGTCTACAAAAAGTAAACAGGTCGTTCATGGGGCAAAGTGTGCGCATGTATAATAAAATCCCACAGTCGATATTGTCTGCCCCTTGATGAATTTAAACGAAAAGTTAAAAGTAAACTTATGGCTAAAGCATATTATACAATTGCTGAATATCTCGACGACGCCAATGTGTGGGGTTAATACTGTTGATACTCACGTAGGCTAAAACAAGACTATTGTACCTGTAGTACTATTATATTGTAAACTGACTTTTTAAAAAAGAGCAACTGTTGAGTTTCTTGCCGGTTTCTTCTCAACAGAAACTGCTTTCCGAACCGGTGGTAACTTACGAACATATTAATTTCCTTGTAAAATTTCGACGTTTCATAAGAACGCGCAAGCGTCTATGTGAATAAAGATATTTTATTATTATTATTATTTATTATTAAGACATTTACAGTCGCCTGAGAATATAAGTCAACTTTTACCAATTATCAAGTGTTG